TTGGGATTCGAAATTAGTAGAATTATAAACTAGGGAAGAATTAGATCCGAGAAATCAGAATAAACTAGATAAGAAGTCTGAAGAATAAAAATTGAAAATGAAATTGAAATGAGAAAGATGAAGGAAATTAAGAAAAGAAAAAAGCAAAAAAAAAATAAAAGAAATTACGAAATGAGAAAAAGAATGAAAGAAATTAGAAGAATTGGGTAAAAATGTAGGAAAATTAGGGGAAGATTAGGAGAATTGGGAATTAGTTGATTAAAATTAAAAGTCAAAAGCATCGGAGATCAAAGAAGAATTGAGATTCGAAATTAATAGAATTACAAATGAGAGAAGAATTGGATTTGAAAAATCAGAATAAACTAGATGAGAGGTTTAAAGAATAAAGATAAAAAAAAGATTGAAATGAAGAAGATGAAAAAAAGTAAGAAAAGAAAAAAGCAAAATATATAAAAGAAATTACGAAATGAGAAAGAAACTAAAGAAATTAGGAGGATTGGATAAACATTTAAAGAAATTAGAAGAGGATTAGGAGAATTGAGAACTAGTTGAATGAAATTAAAAGTCAGAAATATCGGCAATTAGAGAAGAATTGGGATTCGAAATTAATAGAATTACAAATGAGAGAAGAATTAGAGTTGAAAAATCAGAATAAACTAGATGAGAGGTTCAAAGAATAAAGATTAAAAAAAATTGAAATGAAGAAGATGAAAAAAATTAAGAAAAGAAAAAAGCAAGAAAAATAAAAGAAATTACGAAATGAAAAAAAGAATGAGAGAAATTGAAAGAATCAGATAATAATTTAGAGAAATTAGAGGAGGATTAGGAGAATTGGGTATTAGTTGAATGAGATTAAAAGTCAGAAATATCGGCAGTTAGAGAAGAATTGAGATTCGAAATTAGTAGAATTACAAACTAGGGAAAAATTAAATCTGAGAAATCAGAGTAAACTAAATCTGAGAAGTCTGAAGAATAAAAATTAGAAAATAATTGAAATGAGGAAAACGAGAAGAGAAATTAAGCGAGGAAAGAGAAAATGAGGGAAATAAAGAAAAAACTACAAAATGAAAAAAAAATTAAACGAACTAGAAGAATCGGGTTAAGAAATTTAGAGAAATTGGAAGAATCGAATGTGAAAACTCGAAATTAGAAAAACAAACGAGAAACGGGGGGGGGAGGGCTAAGAGAGAAATATCCATCAAAATCATTCCTGAAGTGACACGAGACAAGGGAAATGGAGAGGGCGAGGCGCAGCGGTCGATAACGACAGCGGGCCCCACATGTGCAGCACGTGGGTAAGCCTTCCGCTCGTTCCTTTTTCTTCTTTTGTTTTTCCTTTGTTCTCCTCGGCCGCCTCGGCATTTCCCTCGCGCGGTAATATAATGATGAACGAAGTCCCGACCGTGACGACGCCGGGCTGCTCTCTCGGGTTTCTTCATCTGTGCACCCGCGCCGGGACTTTGAGACGGGCCGCGCTGCAGCGGCGGCCGAAGATCTCGCCGGGACGAAGGCCTTCCGGCTAAGGATTTCGGTTTCATGACCTAACCGTCGGGCGACTGACGAGTGACATCAGGCATTCGTTTCCTCGCGCGCGTTCGACGCGGCTTCGACAGTTTCATAACCTCGGATGCACAGCCGCAGGACTCTTCTCGTGAGAAAAAAAAGAGAAGAAAGAATGAGAGAAATAGAAAAAGCTCGCTGAAGAAATAGAAAAAGGATGCCGCTAAAAACGAAATGAAAACAAAATTAAAGAAACTTGAGGAATCGGGTAGAAATTTAGAGAGACTGAAAAGCCGAACTTGAAAAATTAGAAAGAGAAACGAGACACGTGGGAAAAACGGTTCAATTATCATTGCGATTAATTAATTTCACTCGCCAATCCTCCTCGATTCGTAACTCAAAATCCACGTGCCCGTTCGCGAGATGGCGGAGGAATGCTTCCTTCAGCCTCGCGTACACGCAAGAGCTTCATACGTCTCAGAGACACCCTGTATATATTTATTTCGACTCGACGGCACACGAGGCTCTCAGGACCGACGCTGATGATATGCGCCGGTGTGAGCCCCCGAAGAAGAGGGCACGTATTTACTAACAAGGCGAAGACAAAAAATGCCTTCGTAAGCGGCAGGCTGTGTACAAAAGACCTCGCTAAAAACGCGCGCAGATAACAAACGCAGGTAACAACGGGGACGGTAACGGCGACAGGTAATTCCGCGCGAAAGCGCTCGAAGTAAATTGCCATCGATTGCGGCTGGTCTCTCGAGAGTAGGTCACGGCATGATTTCAATCGACAGACTTTAACGACTTAACGATCCGAACTATTGTCGAGCAGTTTATCGGCTCGGTGCAACGCACGGCGTGTTCATGTGAGCGCGCCGTCCGCACGCACGTGTGCTCTCTCTCTCTCTCTCTCCCTCTCTCTCTCTCTCTCTCTCTCTCTCCCCCTCTCTCTCCCTCTCCCGCTCTCTACCTCCTTCTCTCTCGCTCCACTCTTGGCGGTCTTACACGACACGCAATGAGGTAGCAACACGCGTCGCACGTATACACGCGAGTCCTCCGTATGAGATGGTTAAAAGATGATCGGGTGCGACGGTTGTGCAGTTATGTCATGCGTGGCGCGCACATGGTCGCCGCACGCGAGACGCATTATGTTACAATCGCCGTAAATCGCGCTAAAACACGCTCTCGCGCATCGTCGGTCGGCCGGCTTTTCAGCCGGCCGGAGTCGCGACGCGCTAAGTTATTTCTAATACGATAATGATAAAGTACACACACACACACACATATGCATGTATACACGCACACACGCACGAAGTGTACCTTAACCCCAGAACACACACCAGAATGCTGCTGAAAGATAAAACACGCTTGGTTCAGCTACGCCTTATCTAACGATAGTGTAAGAAGAGACTGGCGACATTTTCGTATGTCGGAGACACTTTTTTATATAGTTTAGTCCTGTATATCAAAGTCTGTGTATCAAAGCCAGCTTGAATTTAAGTCCAACGTTGGTTTAACCTTTTGATTGCCAGAGTGCCTTATATACAGAGTGAGACACTTAAAACAGGCCACCTGAACTAATTTGGAAATATGCAAGATAGGAGAAAATGTTGAGTACAGAGGTTGCAGAGTTTTAAGTGACGCATCACGGTACTGATATGACCTTGAACAGCGCCATCAAGGTTACGGGAAGGTCGTTTTGAGTTTTTAAACGGAAACCCCCATTTTTCACTACATCATCTTTTTCTACAAATTAATTTGAACAACTTTTGTTTGAAAGAGTTTTTTATTCGCCTAATATTTTTTGAGATATTTGAGGAAAAGTTTGGTAACTTTTTGACTTACAATACCTCGGTAATTATTTGTCGGAAGAAAAGTGGTGCCGGACCTTTTTTTCCTCTACGTGGTCTCAATAATATGCTGTTACAATAATGCCTTACCTTTTGTCAACCGTTGATATCGTAAGCCAAATATTGAAAAAGTTACCGAGTTTTCCTCAAATATCTCAAAAAATATTAGGAAAATAAAAAAATGTTTCAGACAAAAGTTGTCCAAATTAATTGATAGAAAAGGATGATATAATAAAAAATGGGGATTTCCATTCAAGTCTACCTTCCCGCAACCTTGATGACGTTGTTCAAGGTCATACTAGTATTGCTGTATGATCACTTAAAACCCTGCGATTTCTCTATTTAACATTTTTTCCATCTTTCATATTTTCAAAGTTTTTCAGGCGGCCTGTTTTACATGTGTTACCCCGCCTTGACACATCCATCGATATCATTAAGAATTTCCTGCCAACATTCTTATTTGGCCTTATTCGTGTTGGTGTCCATACATCTTCCTCGATAATGTCCTTTCTTTTTAATATCGAACCCGTCAGGTAACTTTTCTCCTCCATGGTCCAATCAGCCTCCCTACTTCGCTTTATTTTATTTGGCGTATCCATCGAGAATAATTTTGCTGTCACGAATTAAAAAAAGAAAAAGGAGTCTCAGAATGTAAACATGAACTTCAAAAGCCGCGCTTTGACAATTCCCTGATGACTGCATTTCATCGATTACGAAGTATCTGAAGGTAAATTGAATACGATTAAATACAAGATCATACTATGAATATCGCCCGAAGGGTCTAATTTAAGGGTTTTAATTTCTTCGGTCCGAATACCAAAGTTCGGGGAAACGTCTCTGGATAACATAACCTTAATTCACCGTTAGTCCATAGATAGACTAGATTATCAGAGGGCCAACTAAGCCAGGACTAAAGTAAGATTATCACGGTTTATGTTGTCTCTGAACAGCATCCTTAGGGTCTTCCAAACTTCGTAAAAATTGAAATTTCGTCAAATGTTCTATTTTCAACATTTATTTTTTACTCTTCACAACTTAACGAAATATAAAATTTCTCGCTATTGTGATCTATTCAGGCATATTCCTAAATCTCAGAGAGCTTCAAAAAAAGAAAAATATATTAGACTGAACCGAAAGCACAGCCTATCAGAGTTACAAAGATTTCCCAGACCGATATGTGATTCTGTGACGGTCCGGAAGGTGTGTGTTTTAGGGTTAGCGGTATATAATCACTGATAAGATATTTAAAGAAAAATCCTTAGGGTTTATTAGGAGGAAGAGCAACTGTATATGAAAATAGTGGCAACCATTGGTTGAAACAGCTACGAGAAAACAAGTGCAGTGCTACATTCATATAAAGTTACCCTTCGCTGATACGCTGGAGCCATTTTATTTCTTAAGGCTTCTTTAAACGCTGTAGAAATGCCTGCGCATGCGTGAGAGCGAACTGGTCAACTCCGGAGAAATCTCTCAACGAGCGAAAATGGAACAAATGGATATAGAAAAGTCCACAACTACCACGAAGGAATTTACGCAAAGCGGAGCTAATCAGCTCGACTCTCGGAAGGCTCATGCGGCTTCCAGCCGTTTCTTCTTGTTTAACTGCGGTTTCCATTATAGTCATAGCTCGAGATACTTTGCCGAAGTCATTCACGGGGAGAAAAATGTTTGGTCGAGCGAGGCGATCTTCTGGTGAAACGCCAACGACACGGAAATTCCGCTGAGAGTTATCAGAATCCAGTCTGAAGCATCGAGCTCTCCGGCGAGCCTGAAAAGAATTCGTCGAAAGCTACTTTCAAGCGGGATTTCTGAATCGCCTAATCGCCGGAAAATTCACTGCTTCATCCCCAATCAAACATTTTTCTCCGTGTCGATTTTGTAAAATCGCGTTCTTCATAGCTTCGCTTGTCTGGCTTGGCCGGCGAGAGAATCGCGATCGACCGGCTTTGCAGGCAGGTCGATTCACGTCAAGTTCGTCTCTCCGCGTCACTCAGCGCTTCTTCAGCATCTCCTCCTCCACGTCCAGTGGCAGTATCTTGTAACGGTCAGAATGCTGCAACTGCCGCCGACTGTCAAGGTCCTCCGCTAGCTGCTGCAGCAGCTCCTTGAACACGTAATTGTCCAAGTTCTTGGCGATGTAGAAGAGGAAGAGCCAGTCGCCGAAGTAATACTCGTGCGTGACCCTGAGCACGTTCCACGGATTGAACTTCCCGGGGCAGGCCATGGAAAACACGAGCTTGTTGAATGACGTGCTCCTGCAAGCGAAAAACCGCGAATGACAGCCGCGAGACGTCACCGACGGCAGAATCTGCCGGCTCTCTCTCTCTCTCTCTCTCTTATCGCGCCGCCTTAGTCTCTCCTCCGTCTAACTTGCGTTATTCATGCGCTATTTTTAAATACACCGTGCGCGCATTGGATTTCGCGGTTTTATCGGCGCGGCTCGCAGATGTGTCGTTACGAGGCGCAGGCGCCTTCTCATTACATGCAATTACGAAATCTAATATAATATATCGTTATATAATAACAACATATATATGAAGGAGAGAGACAGCACGTTGCGATGAGCAAGTCATCATGAGTCTTCCTCTCCTTCTCTTTCTTCGCTGAACTCGTGCGTTTTCGTCGTGAACTTTTCACGTCGTCGGAAAGATCTTCTTTCTGTTTTTTCTTTTTTTTCGTTCAACTCGCGCACGTCTCTCGAAATTTGCACGTCGGGAAAGGCGAAGCCGTCAACGGAGCGAAAACGGAGTTCCACTCGTGAGAGAGAAAGAGAAAGAGAAGAGAAACGCGAATTCGCGAGGCGATAACGTCGCGCTCTCTGACGGCGGAAAAACACGCGGAGACAAAGTTTAGCAACCTCGCGTGGAGGATCATGGTCAGGATCCTCCAAAGCAATCCCAAACCGGTTACCACTGCCAGCACGATAAACCAGAACCAGAGGACCGTGTAGATCTTCTCGTTGACGATGTTCAGCGCCATCACGCACAGCGCGTCGTGCTTCTGTATGGTGCCGGAAGGGCCGAACTTGTGGAAAATGCACTTGGTTACCTGAAAACACAAGTGCATGTATTCGTTCTCAGTGGTCCTGCGCAGCGATTGATCCTGGGGAATCTGGGTCTTCACGAGGAAAGAATTTGAACATTAAAGTCGCGAAGATCCCGCCAAACGTTAAACTAAAGTGACGACAAACCGAAACGTTTTTAAAATTCTTGATCCAAACGCTTCTTAAGCGATTTTAGGCGTTAAGGTCGATAGAAAAAGATCGCGAGATTCCAAGAGCCCCGTTGCGAGACTCGAAAGTCCAAGGTGAAGAATAATTAGGATAATATGTGCAGAGCAATTAGCATGCAGGATGGGGAGAAAGAGACGGTCCTCCTGAATAAATTTTAAAATATGCAAGACAGAAATGAATGTTAAATACAAAAATTGTAGGATTTTAAGTGACGCCTCTACGATACTAGTATGACCTTGAACAGCATCATCCAGGTTATGAGAAGGTCATTTTGAAATTTTTAATGGAAACCCCCATTTTTTTATTACATTACCTTTTCTACAGATTAATTTGGACAACTTTTGTTTGAAACATTTTTTTATTCGTCCAATATTTTTTGAGATATTTAAGAAAAATTTTGGTAACTTTTTTAATGGCTTACGATATCTCGGTAAAATTATTTGTCGGAAGGAAAAATGGTACTGGACTTTTTTATTCTATTTGGTCTCAAGTTTATATTGTTACAATATTGATTTAACTTTTGTTAACTTATCGACCTTTGAAAATTTCAAAATCATCAAATTAACAAAAGTCAGAGAGAGCTGTCGTAACAATATATTTTTGAGACCAAATAGAATGAAGAAATCTAGTACCACTTTCTCTTCTGACAAATAGCCGAGATATCGCAAGCCAAATATTGAAAAAGTTACCAAAAGTTTCCCTCAAGTATCTCAGAAAATATTAGGCAAATAAAAAATGTCTCAGACAAAAGTTGTTCAAATTAAATGGTAGGAAAAGATGATAAAATAAAAAATGGAGGTTTCCATTTAAAAAATTCAAGATGATCTTCTCGTAATCTTGATAACGTTGTTCAAGGTCATACCAATAATGCTATATAATGCATCATTTACAACTGTATAACTTTTATACTTAACATTTTCTTCTATTCTATATATTTTCAATGTTATTTAAGAGGCCCGATCCTTTTTTTTCCACCCTGTATATGAAATAAAATATTAAATAAAGAGGCGTTCGGTGAAAATGGAGGAATTATATTTAATCGCTAGATTTCTTGGAGTGTCGCTCGAATAGCGGTGAATATTACGTATGTAATATTTTTTAAGGAATAATAGTAAATAATTTTAGCCACACTTTTGTGGACTCGAGAATTTTGTTGCAGTTTTCACCGCAGCGAGATTAGAAAGGGTTATTCACATGGCGTTACTTTTGTTTGCTTAATTCGCCGGCAGAAACTGCCTCTAGACGATAGATCTCCATTCACCAGAGTTTACCATTTAGAATTCGCTGGTAAAAACTTCCTCTAGACGCTCGATTTTTATGCGCTGAAATTTAAAAGACGCGGCATTTAGTGGTCAAAGTTGAACGCGTCGAATTTTGTCGCAGCGACTACCAGACGTCGCGCCTTCTAAATTTCAGACTCTAGCAAACATAAAAATCTTCTATTGCCTAGAAGAAGTGTTTACCAGCGAAATCGCTGGCGAATTGAGAAGCTCGTCGAAAACGAAGAAAAACGACACCTTAAGACTCGCCAGCGAAATTCGAAGGGACTCGGCAGATCCCCGCCTCGCTCATGACGGAACACGAGGGTGGCGACACGGAGGAGGCTGTACCTTCGGGAACACGATATCGAGCGGATCCGTCTCGTCCTTAGGTACCGGCTCGGCGACTGACTGACCGAGTCCGAGGAAGGCGCCGCCGAGGAACCAGTCGGTCAAGTAAATTTGCATGATCACGTTGGCGAAATTCATGACCTCGCAAAAAGTCAGGCCGTATGCCCACGGTCGATTGAGGTGCAGGCGGTTGAGGAAGCCGATGCGGATCTGCTGTATCTTCTCGTCGCGCTCGCCCCTCGACGGCACCTTGAGATTGTCCGACACCTTCAGCTCCGTCTCGCTCAGCGCTAAGGACGCCATGTGCAGGCCCGACACCAGCATCTTCAAGCGGCCGCCTGAAATGAAGCGATCGCGGCTCATAATCGGGACACCCGCGATTCACCTACCGGGTGGCCCACAGGATTTTAGGCTGCTCCTGCCGCGAGCAGCCTAAAGTCCTTCGTTTATGACGTTCGAAGGGATACGTCCGAAAAATGACACATGAGCGGAAATGCTGCTCGACGACGACTTTTGGTATCCCGAGAACCGCACGGACCTCGATCACTCTGGTCTGAAATTTTACACTTCCCGGGAACTTTCGAGTCAAATCATTCGTGCCCCTCGAAGGACGGAACGAGGACACGGATTTAAGAAATTCAATTCATTTCTCATAAACTAGAGGAAACGCACGTGACGTCGCTACTGGTTCGATTTTCCTCGCGTCGCTCTCTTTTTCACGCAAAACATGTATCGGGTGACCAAGACAATTCGTGCGGTCTTCGTTGGCGGCTCACGTGGTGACCCTTGGCGCTCGTAAAAATCCGATTGCGTCGGGCGGCTCGTAATAAACCTGGTCCTGCAAGATACGCGGGAAAAAGCCTCAGTTCGTGTAACCGGATAGCGGGAGCGGAAGTCCCTTGATGGAAAATAACCTCTCTTAGCCGTGGCCGAAGCCATTTGTCCAGACGCCAGGCTGCCGCGAAATTCGCCCGAGACAACGGAGAGCAATTAGAAGCGACTGGAAGCCTCCTGCGGGGATCCTTTCGCTTCCGTAACCGAGCCTCTTCTCTCTGATCTCGATTCTTCGGCCGCACCGAGACGGAAACATCTTCTCCGTCGAGAAGAAGCCGCGTGATCATCGGCTGGCGTTCGCGCGAGCCTTCGTCACGATTTCTCGCGCGTTTCTGAATTACATCTTCCTCTGGCAGCATAAGAGAGCGATAGAGAGAAAGAGAGAAAGAGAGAGAGGAGTGCCGAGAGGGTTGAGAGAGCCGCAGGATCGAGCGGTCCTTCCGTGACTTCTCCGAACGCTCGCTTCCCGTTGCTGCTGCTTTTGTAAATATCGCTTTTGTAAATAACGCGAGGGAGCCAACGTGCGGCGCAGCTGCGAAAGTATGTCGGAAATGTTACACGATTAGATTAGCCGAGTGACGCTAGAAAGATTGATGATGATTAGCTCGTCGCCCGAGATAATAAACTGCTCGCGCGGTCTCTTGTGCGTCGCGGAGTCGCGAGAGGACGAGAGAAGAAGGCCGCACGCGGGAGAAGGAGAACTCGCTCCTCGGCTCGGGGGCAAACTCTGCCGGAAGTGATCTCATTGACGGGATATCTTCGCTATCGCGGATTAGAAACATTTGATCGATAACTGGGAAGCGATTAATTTAGCGGAAACTCTTCTAGCCGCTGACGTAAGAATATCCGAGCCGAGCGTGGACATAAGACCACGCAGTGATCAAAGATCGCAGCGACATTTCCTTCAGCTCGACGAGCTCCGCGACGCATTCCGAGAATGGCCGAAAAGCTCGTCCTGTCGAATGCGGGGTGCGTTGGGAGTCGAGGACGATGTCGCAGTCTTCGATCGGCCGATTGTACTCTAAGGGCGGATTCACACCTGGGCAGAAAATCAGAAAGCAGAAAGGCAGCAGCCAATCAGAACTCGCGCTGATAGTCTGTCTCTCTCTTGCGAGAGCTTTTCTCTCTGCCATTCTCTTGGCTTCTGCTGTTCTGCTTTCTGCTTGCCTGCCAAGGTGTGAATCCGGGGAACGTGTCCGTTCAGACATGTCGACTTTTCTCATATCGACTTTTTTACGCGAACTGATTTTTTCCACACGGAGATAAAATCTCAGCTGGTCGTATGACGAAGATCAGACAAAAGATCGACGAGGAGAACTGAAAGTGATATCTTCGTCGTTAGCTGATGGAAAAACATGCAGAGTCGGTTGAGATCACCGCGAACAATCGGATCATCGAAAAACTTTCTGTTCCTGAAGAGCGAGTTTTTGTCTGACCCTCAGGACCCGAGAAACAGTCGGCTGCAAGGTTGCCGAATTTGGGACTTGTGTCAATATAATCGTTCGACCTTCCATTCTTCGCCACAAGTAGTGCGGCATGTAGAAAAGCAGCGCCTGGAAGAACAACACGAACGGCACCCATTGGTAGTAAGCGTGGTGTATGACAGGATCGTCCTTGCCGGCCGGCCCGACGCCAAGATGCGGCAGCTCGCCTTGCTGCACCGCGGTAGAGTTCAGATGCTTCACCTGAGGAGCAAACGATAGGCGATTAACGACGTCGCGAACGGCCCGCGTCAAGCGGGAAATCATCCCCCCTCCCCACCACGGAAAATTCGATCTTGCTTTTGAAGACTGACGAACATCAACAATTTAATATTTATATGTACATATAATTTTCTTCTTTTATATACAAAGTTGTGAATTTTTATGTATTTTAATAGTAAGTCTGTATTGCTGTCGCTGTCATTAATTGTTAAAGATGAAGTGTCAAGGAGAAAATCAGAAAAAGATTCACCTTCGTACATTTTCTTAATTAGGTTATAAGTTAGAAGCGTCTCCATGTCGATAACCACGCACAACCGTTAACATTTTTAGGTTAGGAAGTTACCCCCGCCATGTTCGATCGGAAATCTCATCAGCCCATCGGCAGAAGGAGCCGATGGATCTGATGGATGACTTCAGCGCTGCAAATAAGGACGGATCGATCGATGTATTAAAAGACTCAGCCGGACACTCGTAGCGTAACCCGCGAATTCTTCAGCGGATAAAGACTTTATCTATCATTATCTTTACGCCCGGTGTGTATCGACGTAAAAATAATAACGCGCGGCAGATAATACAGATGTTTATCGGGAAAGAAAATGGGCCTCCCAGATATAAAAGCGCGTGTGCGTGCGTGAGAATCAATGAATGAGGCGCAAAGAAAAGAAAAATTTTTACGAGTCGAAGTGGCAAAATTGAAAAATACGGCGCGCGGAAATGACAGAATGCAGGAGTACAAGGACGATGAGAGCCTAACTGCGGATGTAGCGGCGATTAGTCGAAGCAGCGAAGAATAATCGTTTTCGACACCAAGCCTGATCCGAAGACTTTGGTTGTAGTTATGAAGTTGGTAGGACTTAAACTAATCCCATAATTGATCAGCTGATCAAGACAATAAGTAATAAAAGGTCTATCCATTTCTCTATCTAACATTGCAAAATTAAATTAGCTAAGTTGTAAATAGAAATAGTACATGGCTGTGACGTCCAAGCGTGATCAGCTGATCAGCTGATCAAAGTTCAAGGCCTACCAACCTCGGAATTAAAACCGAAGTTTCCGAAACCGATTTCGGAACAGGTCTACCAACCCGCCTTAGGAAGATCCCAAACTCGTATCAGACTACGGATTGGGATTGAGTATTGGATTGAAATTTAACCAATCAGAGCTTTACAGCCGTTTAGCAGGAGTTTACTACATTTGAGATTATTTTCTTTTTTCCAATTGGTCCAATTTCCAAATTTCAATCCAATTTCAATCCCAATCCATAGTCTGATACGGGCTTTAGGCGATCATAGTGGCTGAAACGAAAGGATCCTCGCATCCGCAATTTGGCGCTCTCATTGTCCGCGTATTTTCGTTTTCTGGCTTCAGGCTACTCCTCGACTGCGATTCCCGGCTGACAAGCGGCTCGACTCACCACGGTATAGGTGGACGTGAAGAAGCAGAAGGTCTCGATCACCTTGCTCGGCACACCAGCGTCGGCGATACACCTTTTTTCACAAACAGCAAAAACCATCGTCAGACTTCCAAATTTCATTTATTCCGCTCGAGAGAATCCTCAAGCTGATATACCTGATATGCTCCCCGATAAACTGCCTGGAGGACACGAGAATCGACGCGACGAGCAGCAACAAGAACGTCACCCTGTAGTGCAGCCTGAAAACTAAACGGTGCGTCTCTCTACGTAATCTGATGCATCATTCTTACGAGATAAAAGCGGGAGACGCGGTGGAGCCGAATTTCCACGGAGGCGACGCGCCGAGCAAGTCGGGGGAAAGCATCGCAGAGACGGTTCGTTACCGAGATTGTCGATGGACACCGACTCCTGATTGACTTTGAACTTGACGTGGTCCTTGAGGACCGAGAAAGCCGCGAACACGGTGGTGGCAGCCGGCATGGCTGGCTTGCCGCGCGATCCCCCGGCGGAAACCAAGTCGATCTCTTCAACGGAAGTCGCTCTTCTTGTTTCCGCGAGCGGTTTGAGATCCGCAATCCCGACGATCGAGCGTGCACTGAAAGCTCGGCGGCGGCGAATCTCGCGCGCGTTATCTCGCGACCGGCCGGCGCGAGCGCCTCACAAAACGACGTATCATCGACAAAGACGTTTATTATTGTCAAGACACTCCGCGATAACAGAGGCGAGATAACAGGTCGCGGAATTAGACGACGCGGAATTAAACGCGTCACGAGCGTGATACGAGCGATCGGCCCCGCGGCGCGGCGCGGCGCGGCGCGGCGCGGCGCGCAGCACTGATTTACGATTTACGCGATCTCGACTCGCTCGATCCCGCCGTAATCGAGGCCGATGGACGTTGGCCTGCCACGCGGGTCTTACGATTCGTCGCTGCCGCGTCGAGATCTCGCGCGTTCTTGGATAACCCGTTTCGAACAGAATATTACGAGGTTTCAATTAATTCTGGTCTCATTTTGTTAATTTTTTATCTTTATCTTAAAGAAATGGTTAAATTTACATCGATCGATATTTTTGCGCCGACCTAATAACCTGGGCGGTTGAATTAATTCCGGTCTCATTTCGTCGATTTTGTTGTCTTTACCTCAAAGTGGCAAAATGGTGAGATTTACATCGATCGAAATATTTTCCGTCGTTAGCTGTGACTTTTTTGCGATGTCGCGCGTGCCGCGAATTATCAGGCGCAAAAATTATTGCTGCGAACATAATTGCGGTTTTTACGTATCGGGTATAAAGACACACACATCGGTTAAAAATTATATTTATTAGTCGAAATAATGACCATTGGCCTGCACACATTTCTCCCAACGGGAAACAAGTTTGTTTATTCCTGCAAGATAGATATTCTGGACAAGAGAATAGTAACTAGAAAAATCGGCGCCAAGCTCAAAGTAATAAAATAATAAAAACCGCAATTATTTTTGCACCAACCTGATATTAGGAGGTCGGATTAATTCCGGTCTTATTTTGTCACTTTTTTATCTTTATTTTAAAGATAGGTTAAATTTACATCGATCAAAATATTTTCCGTCGTTAGCTGTGACTTTTTCCCATTTTTCCGGCAACATAGCGATCCCACGACGATAGAACGATCTGTCTTTCGAAGCGATCCAATCAGACACACATTTTTGCACATCCTCGTAATTATTGAAGTGTGTATCTGCCAAAGCGTGTTGCATCGATCGGAATAGATGGTAACCAGACGGTGCTAGGTCTGGAGAGTACGCTGGGTGCGGAAGGATTTCCCATTCGAACTCTAACAATGATTGTTTAACGATCGAAGTAACATGTGGACGAGCATACCGTGCAAAAGAATCACTTTGCGTCTATTGCCGGCTATCGCTAGCCTGTTTTGCATCAATTCGTCACTCAATTTGTTCAATTGTTGCTGATATCGCTCCCCCGTAACTGTTCCATTCGGTTTTAGAAGCTCATAGTGCACCACACCTTCCATATCCCACCAAATACAGAGCATTGCTTTGTGGCCGTGAATGTTCCGTTTTGAAGTCGATGTTGATGGTTATCCTGGATCAACCCATGATTCTTTTAGCTCTGGATTATCAAAATAAATCCATTTTTCATCTCCAGTTACAATTCGTCACGAAAAACTCTCTTTTTCTGTCTGACAAGCGAAGACATGGCGATACTCAAACGATTTGCAATGGCACTTTCAATCAATTCATGTGGAACCCACTTGCCTTCCTTTTGAATGTTTCCCATGGCGTGTAGGCGTTTAGAAATTGTCGATTTATCGATGTTGAGTTGCTCAGCCAATTGTTTTTCCGTTTGAGCGGTGTTTTCATTTAATAATGCTTGCAATTTGGAATCTCCGAATTTTTTTGCTTGACCAGTACGTCCTTTGTCACTCCGATCGAAACCACCACTTTTGAATCGTCGAAATCAAAATTTACAATTAGAATACGATGGAGCTTGATCACTATAAGTTGTAATAAGTATTTTATGAGCTTCAATTGCCGATTTTTCAAATCAAACAAAAAAGTAATGAATGTCGAAAATGCAATTTTATATGACCCATTTTAGACGCGTGACAACAATGAAATTATCAATAACAATAGCGCGCAAACTGTCATATGTCACAGAGAAATGTCATATCTTTCAATGTGTGTTGCCAGAATTCGACATTCGTACTAACAATTACCTTGTTATAAAAGCCATCCATTGCTAGGGACCAGAACTAATTCAACCTACTAATACTTCTGAGGAAATGTGAATTGTTCGCAAAAATGCTCCGGGCGGGAAACTGAAGACACTTTTTCTTTTTTAATGCCTCCTTAAAATCAGACAGCTTCCATGCATTTCTTCCGAGGTTCCTCAGACGAACCTGAATTTCGCGAAGAGTGATTAAGCCAGAAAAATGGATTTTCAAAAGTTAAGCCGAGAATGTCATTGAAATTCTTTATCTGGAGCTTTCGTAGGCCATTGTTTACGAATAGGTAAAATTTTTTTAAATCCCCACACAGTACCCGATAAAAGTACCGGCAACGAACGCAAAGCGTGGAATGGAATTTAACCTCTAGAAACGTCGCCTGGCCGCCGCGATGGCAGCCCGACGCGTCATCCCGTTCACGAATTTATGTATCAATTATACGGCTCGGTGTCCTGTCCGCGGCTCTCCTACGCGTGGCCATTCAAAGGGCATTCACACATACTCATGACGTCCAATAAATTAGAAAGCTGCGGCACAACAACGCGCTCGTTACACGCAGTGTGACTCCACGCGTGCCGGCCTCCATTTATCCCGAAGGAGAAACGGCTCGTCTATGACGGGTGTTACAGAGTGTTAAGCAACTATTAGTCGTGCTGGTTCGCGTAGCAAAACGAGCGGAGAAGCAATCCGATGTGTGCTCAGGCCCAGATCGAAGTAATGAAGCGACAGGACTCGCGTTACGTTTCTCGCGACACGCGTGTGTGTCGCGTAAAGGCGCATTCACACCTGGGAAGAAAAGCAGAAAGCAGAAAGACAGCAGCCAATCAGAACTCGCGCTGATAGTTTGTCCTTCTCTCTCTCTCTCTCTCTCTCTCTCTCTCTCTCTCTTGCGAGAGCTTTCCTCTCTATCACTCTCTTGACTGCTGCCTTCTTGCTGCTTTCTGTTTTTCTGCCCAGGTGTGAATGCGCCCTAAATGCGTGTCGGTCGGGCCGGCGACATTTTCGAGAGCAGACGGCCACACAGCCTCGCTCATTTTCATGAGTGTGACGCAACGAGACGACGTCATAATGACGGCAGAACAGGGAAATCGTCGCAGCCGGGTATGAATTTATGTTTCACACGGAGTGCAGATTTCAATAATATTAGGTGAATCGGAAAGTTCCATCTAGCGGCAAGTAGCTAGAACTGTCGTTAGTCTCTAATGTCTAAACGAAGCTTAATGGTTTGTTTTGACATCTGTCAATAACATTCAGTACATAAAAGTATATACGTTTGCATCAATAACATTGTTTTTTACTGCATCGAAAATGTCGAAATTTGAGCTAAATAAGCGTCATTTGCGCGAAATGTTAATCTTTTGCTTCAATTAGAAGAAAACTGCAGTTGAAGCTCATCGAATGCTTGTAGAAGTTTATGATGATAATGCTCCTTCCGATAAAACATGCAGAGGATGGTTTCGACGCTTTAAAAGTGCTGATTTTGATGTAGAGGACAAAGAGCGTTCTAGACGGCCAAGAGTATTCGAAGACGAAGAATTGCAGGCATTGGTGGACGAAGACCCATGTCAAACGCAAGCATGCATTAAATTGTGCTCAATCTGTCATTTCCGATCGTTTGAAAGCCTTAGGAAAGGTTTACAAGGAAGGAAAATGGGTCCCGTATGAACTGAAGCCAAGAGACATTGAAAGGCGAAGAACCACCTGCGAAATTCTGCTTGCTGGGCAACAAAGAAAGGGGTTTTTACATCGTATCATCACTGGGGATGAAAAATGGATTTATTTTGACAACCCCAAACGTCGAAAAACTATTTGCGATCCCGGCCAACCTTCAACATCGACGCCAAGGCGGAATATCCACGGAAAGAAGGCAATGCTCTGTATTTGGTGGGATCAGAAGGGTGTGCTGTACCATGAGCTGTTGAAAAATGGCCAAACAGTCACAGGGGATCTCTACAGAGAACAAATGATCCGTTTGAGCCGAGCATTGCACGAAAAACGACGAGAATATGAAACGAGACAGCATAAAGTGATTATGCTTCATGACAACGCTCGGCCTCACGTCACAAAATCTGTCAAGGAAGCACGTTAGAAGCACTTCGCTGGGAAGTGTTACCCTATGCGGCTTATTCACCGGACTGTGCCCCTTCCGACTACCACTTGTTTCGGTCGATGGCACACGCACTTGCTGACGAATGCTTCAATTCTTATGAAGACGTCGAAAAATGGGTCTCTGACTGGATAGCCTCCAAAGATGAATCATTCTTTCGCCGCGGAATCGCTTGCTGACCGAAAGATGGAAAAAAGTTATCGCTCACGATGGACGATATTTTGATTGATGTACTTTTTCTCACTTTATTTCTTAAATAAAGCCATATGTTTTGCAAGAAAACGGACGGAACTTTCCGATTGACCTAATATTTGCAGGCCGGCTTTACAATTGCTCGCTAAACTCGACTGGGTTTGATTTTGCTATCAGATACTTGGCGTTGATATCTAATGAGCGAGATTAATTATACACTTTATTTATCTGACGCTGTTCTACTCGCTAATTCGCTGAATCAGTCAAAACGTTCGGGGCGATTTCTCTCAGTCGGGTTTTGTTATCCAATATTTCACGTTGATGATTTCCCGCGAAATGGATTAAGTCATAGATTTGTTTATAGATCTGCAGCCTATTCACTAATCTCGGATCAGTTGCGAATGCTAGAGTCGACTTTTCAGTGAGATTTGCATTGATTTTCATAAGCGGAATAGAGCGTAGATTTTATTTGCAGGAACACGCGCGGTTTTACAGCTGCTTTGAGGTTAGGTCAATCAAAAGGTGCGATTCGATTGTTCGAGTCAAATTTGATTGTACTGCATCCGACGAAGAGAAATTGTTCATCGACCACATAGCTATAGAAGCTTGCCGTCGAATGCACGCGAGAATGAAAAGCGAACTTGCCTCGACTGACTCGATAACTGGAAATGGAATTTAGTCGAACGAACGTGATTTTCTCGGTCCTTCTTGAGATGAAACTTGAAGAAGTCATGCTTGAAACACTCGAGAAGTGACTGAGCCATCTAGTAGCCACCTAGTAGGCTAATGCCTCGACTAAATCGTCCGTCACTGCGGAACGAATTAACATACTCTCGTCTACAGCGGCGAAACGTGATGCGAGTAAACAACGATGATCTAAATTTAGAGAGACAAAGAGACACGCTCGGCGGATAGTGGAATAGATTTGTTTCGAAGGCTCTCTTACATGCTCGCTCTCTCGGCACGATTACTCACTCGATGCTGCTTAAAGTATATTAATTCATTGAAGCGGAAGGGAACCGACGAAAGCCTGCGGAAGACTTCGCATTCCCACTGCAGCCAAGCTACCTTCGAAAGAGAGAAAGAGAAAAAGTGAAAGGAAGAGAGAGAGGGAGAGTAAATAAGTTGATTATACAGGGTGTCCGAGATCTTTTGGAAACAAAAAGTTGTAAAGATTAATCAGGTCGAACTGAGAAAAAGAGTCAAGTGCCATTTTGCGAAAATCGCAATAATTATTAAGTTATTAATGATTGAAAATGACCGCAGCCAGAGGCTTTTAATTGGTAAATTAATTGAAAATAGCCATCATGTTATAATTGTAGGTTAGGTCATTCTGAACAAAAAAGTCTCTTACCATTTTGGAAATAAATAGACCAATTTTCAAGTAATCAATTAAAAGAGTCTGTAGATGTGATTATTTTCAATCATTAACTGTCGCGATTTTTGCAAAATGGCACTTGACTTTTCTTTTCAGTTTGATCCGATTAATCCTCACAATTTTTCGTTTCCAAAAAATCCCAGACACCGTATAGAAAGAATTACTCATTTTCCACGGATTTTCTCGACTTTGATATATTTTACAAAGAGCGAAGTTTCGAGTAATTTTTAGACGATCGCATTGCGAGATACATCGCTCCAAAGTTTTGCAATCTCACATGGAATTATACTGGGAGGGTGTGAGTTATCATTTACGACTCTCGCTCAAACATATCGTGTATTATTCTTCTTTGTGTTTACATCATTTATTTACGCGTGTCTTCAAACGCACTTCAGCGATCCGTTGAGAACGTTCGAATCTTTCGCCTTAAGGCTCGTCTACATTAGCTGTAAGAGTAAGGCTGTAAGATAAATGAAATATTTTCATTCGCTGACAGCTTACGTTACAGCCTTACAGCCTTACTCTTACAGCCTTACTATTGTAGATGAGCCTTTAAACTAAACGGATGAGTTTATCGTAGACTCGAAAAAGATTCGCGAAGACCTGCGACAAGATTCGAGCTCAAACAGCATTTTGTAAAAATATTTCTCTCGCACATCTTAACTTCGCGTAGGCGCCCTTGCTGACCTCTTTATTGTTTCAGTTTCAGATATCATTCAGTGGGGGGATCTGAAGAATATCTCTGCGGAAAGCAAGCCATGTAAACACGGAACAACAACACGAACGATACGACGCAGCAGTACGTTCGAGATGATAACAGCTCGGTATGATGAAAAATCAGACTGCATTGTTTAAGTGTATCTTCCAGATTGAACCATGACATCCTCCAAAAATCCCAAGGAGACATAGATCGATATATTAGATGTACAAATTAATTCGATGCCTTTTTCATGAAATTCAAAATTTATTTTTTTATTTAATAAAAGGTCAAGTACAAGTTTAATATTCGATATAATTTCCAGGAGTGATGGAAATTATTTGCACAAAGGACCTAACCTAGCCCATTATTAATTATTTGCAAAAAGAACCTGCCCTAACCTAACCTATCCTATTTTACTGTACACTATTAGGTGTACAACTTTGCTCCCGCCGTTTTTTTTCCGAAATTCGAGGCTTTATTGTAAAAAACTGGTTATACATTTATGATTCAAAGTATTGTCCATCTCTGGCCACTACTTTCTTCCATCTTTCGGGCAACGTACGAATCCCGCATTGAAAAAACTGGTCATCTTTTGAAGCGATTCACGAATCGATCCAATTTCTTACTTCTTCGTAAGACCGGAAGTGCTGGTCAACCAGGCCGTGTGCCATTGATCGAAACAAGTGATAGTCAGAGGGAGCAACGTCTGGAGAATACGGCGGGTGGGGTAGGATTTCCCATTTCAACGTTTCCAAGTATGTCTTGACCACTTTCGCAACATGGGGTCGAGCATTGTCATGCTGCAAAATCACTTTATCGTGTCTCTCGTTGTATCGCGGCCGTTTGTCTTTCAATGCTCGGCTCAAACGCATTAATTGCGTTCGATAACGATCGCCTGTGATTGTTTCAGTCGGTTTTAACAGCTCATAATACACTACGCCGAGCTGGTTCCACCAAATACAGAGCATGACCTTGGAGCCGTGAATACTCGGTTTGGCCGTCGACGTGGAAGCATGGCCGGGATATGCCCATGATTTTCTGCGCTTGGAGTTATCGTAATGAACCCATTTTTCGTCCCCAGTCACAATGCGATGCAGAAATCCCTTCCGTCTCTTTGCCTTTCAAGCAACTGTTCACAAGCAAACTAACGCCGTTCAATGTCTCTCGGTTTCAACTCGTACGGCACCCAATTTCTTTGCTTCTGAATCATTCCCATGTCTTTGAGGCGTTTTGAAATTGCTTGTTGAGTCACTCCCAATGATCGTGCCAATTCTTCTTGACTTTGACACGAGTCTTCGTTAAGTAATGCCAATCCAATTCTGCATCTTCGAAAACCTTCTCTCTTCCACCGCTATGCCGATCTTCGACGTGAAAATCACCGTTCTTGAAGCGTTGAAACCACTCACGACACGTTCTTTCACTAATAGCGGCCTCACCATAAGTATTTGAGAGCATTCGATGAGCCTCAGCCGCAGATTTCTTCATATTGAAGCAGAAAATTAAAACCTCCCGCAAATGACGAATTTGACTCGAAAACTGACATTTTCAATCGAGAAATAACTTTATGATGCAGCAACAAATCGACTAATGTTTCTATGGGGTTATGTTGACAGATGCCCAAGTTTATTGCATGACGTCTATGATCTATTTATTTCGACCACTACTTACCGCTAAAGCCATCAGTAGGAAAACGGCGGAAGCAAAGTTGTACACCTAATAAAAATGGAAATTTTGCGAAGATTAACAAAAATTTCTATGCAAGGTTAGGAAAAACTGATTTTAATCAATGAAGTATCAGAAGATTAAAACTTTTTAATTTTTTAATAAATTTTTTTACGAGAGAATGTATCTCACTTTTGCTAACCTTGCTAACCTTTGCTAATCTTCGTAAAATCTCCATTTGTAGCATACGGTAAACTCGTCGATTTAGTAAGGCGAAAGATTTGTGTAAACGGCAAATATCTAGGACGAGATTGTTCCATATCTGTAGCGCGATAACTTCTACAAACACAATTGCACTCAACGTACAATTTTATAGGTTAATAATTTTATAACTTTAAAGTCATATATCTCGAAAACTATAAGTGACCTCCATGTAATTGTATCAAGGAAAGTTATTTAAAATTTCATTCTTTATAACATATTTCAAGATGAAAAAAATCAGAGAAAAGTTACTTTTTATGCATATTTACCCAGAAGATTGTGCTCTCTGGGTTCTTATGTTGTTTGAGATTAACAGATATGAGCAAAGTGGACGTTTATGGGAGATTTCTATTTTATTGCGGTACTTGGCATTCTGAAACTGCGTCTGATGCAGCACCATAATTAATGAAGTCAAATGTGTACATAAAATTCTCGTTTGAAATATTTACAATAACGCAACTAAATAAATCCCGAAAACATCCCAGGACATCCTGGACACATTTGGGGGCTTAGAAACACACGCGTGATTCGAAGCGCGGATGACTCGGAAACTGCACCCTTCGTGACGTATCCGCGAGCCGAAGGAACCCGAGATGCGTAAGCTTTTTTCTGTGTAAACATATCCCGCATTCTCTTGCCCACACGTGCAACAAGCGAAATGACGATGTTCAATTATCCCAGCGATCGACGATGACGACTCCGATGACGCGACGCCGTGCCGCTCGAAATCGCGTTCGCGATCAATGAGAACGTTGACGGCGGCCGCTCCGGCAAGTTCTCACTAACAAAGCCGCCGGCCAGCTCCAATTGCAAATCCAGTTGTTAGTCGGCGAGTCGTAGAAACGACACGATACAACGCGATGTCCAAGAGGCGGTGCACGTGATCGTACAGAGGCATCGGCAACCCGAGTTCGCTCGGCGCGCGCGTTAGGGTGGCTACACACCGAGCGGACGGATGACGATTAGGGTTGCCAACTGTCCGGTTTTGACCCGGACCGTCAGATTTTCAGAAGTCTTGTCCAGTGTCCGGTTAATAAGTCAAACCGGACGTCATATGTCCGGTTTTCAAGTTATATCCAATCAATGGAATGAGAGTTCAGATTTTAGCAACGTTTCTCCGTTTCAAGCGCCTGCAAACGATCGAGCGCCACGAAAAGCCATCCAGTAGATGATCTGCCGATTCATCGTTCCATATATATTAAAAAAGTAATAGTTTATTATTTTATTCAATCAAATCTTGTTTGTAAAATTGTTTGGAAATTAATATTGTAAATAAATTCTTGTCATATTCTGTATTTAATGTAACGTTATGATTATTACTTCTGTCCGGTTTGGGTTTGTTTGTCAAAGAAGAAATGTCCGATAATTTTAACTTTTGGATTTGGCAAGCCTGATGACGAGCGACCAGCGAGCGCGGAAGTTTGGACACTCGAGCGTCGATTGATCGCCCGTCTCTCTTCCACTGGCGAAGTCGGGGAGGACGTTCGCTCGCTCGCTCGGTGTGCAATCGCCTTTATGCGGGGCTCGCTCGCGAGGTGTAGCTTACTAATCCCGCGGCTCGCGCTCGGAAGCCCCGACCTGGAATCTCGCTCGCATTCCCGGAGCTCGCAACGAGAGAAGCTCGCTAATCATTTCGAGAATCCCCAATGTGGACTTTGAGTGAGTCACGTAGCTCGAGGGATCCGCGGCTTTTCGTCGCGTCTTATCATGACGCCGCGACGCGACGCAGCGACTTTGTCATCTTTCGAGAGAATATTCGACGAAGAATGAGCTTCGCCTTTCGATCCGGCAATTGTCATCGCGCAACGTGAATCGACGCTCCGGCGCCCGGACACGTGTCGGTAACGGTATACGTGCGAACGGGACGGCTATGAGCGAGGAGTTTTACGCTCGGCGAGAAGAGATGAGAAGATCGCTTCAACCTGTTGGGAAAGAAGAAAAGGGAGACAGCCGCTGAACGACATCTTCTTGTCGGCGCACTTACTCATTTCTGAGAAATTATCGGGAATAAATTAGAATCTCCTCGTAAAAGTGAGAAAAATATGACACAATTGGAGCTTCAGGTGCTCGAAGTCAACCTTGTGTACTGAGCTTAACGAGTACATTAACCGCTTCGTTGGCATCGACGCACTTTTACGTCAAAATCAAAACGTGCCGTAAGTGGCATTGACGCACTAATACGCACGTCGTTTATTTTTTTATTAACTGATCCGATTTTCGTAAAAATTGATACTCTAAGGAATTTGAGATCGAAATATGGCAATTCAAAATGGCGGATACAAAATGGCGGAGCAAGAAAGTAAAAATCCATCTGATTATTATGAAACTCGGTATCTGGGAGTTTTTCAGGTGACTGAATAAGAAGTTGAGGTCAAAATGTGGAAATTCAAAATGGCGGATCCAAATGACCTCAAATCCGTACTCAGCCACTCGAAGAACATTTTAGTACCGACGTTTATAAAAATCAAGCATGATTTGTATGTTGCCATTTTGGGTCAATTGATGCTATTTCTCAGTGTCAACCACGAAGTGATTAATCGATCGCAACAAGTATCAAAATATCACAATACGCAACTCGGTTAATTTCTTACCTTATTCTCACGATTGTAGAGATTACTTTATCGCGTCAGATTGCGTCAGAAAAATCAATTGCGTGATCAACCGTGAGCCGAGAGATAAGAGATATGCGTAGCCTCCCGGAGGTTCTCGGATTACACCGATCTACCGTATTTGTGGTAATCCGATCAGTTCAAAGTACTTTTGTGCAATCGACGGAAACCAAAGACGCGGCGGTCAATTTCCCCGCGTGTTAAATTTCCCCTTTCTTCGACACACTCACCACTAGCGTCCCCAATGTCATCAATCTATCACCGGAGACCAACGTCACGCAATGCGCAGGCAACTCAAATTGCCTGTCGGCTACATTTCGCATGCGCACACCCGAGCCGGAATTTCGGTCTCACTTTCGACCTCAATGGCCCATTTCACTCGGGGTAGCTAATTTGCTACCCCGAAGCCTGCGTCAACCTTTCCTGGTTGTGCTTGACCCGCAACTTTGCCGAGAGGTCCTCTCAAGAAGCAGCGAGTGGCAAATTATGTATTTTCCGCCAATTAGCGGCGCTGAAAGTAGGACTTCATAATTGCTACGTGAGTTAAATCCCCATTGATTCTCCAGAATCTACAGATGTTGAGGTGGATGTTAGGGCCAAAATCTCGACTTGGGCGAACACGCACTATATCAAGTACGACTATTAAACGACTGCATGGACTATAGCGAGTGACTCTCGACTTTCGACAACGGCCGATTTTTCTCTGACGCAATTAACCGTTTCTGACACATGACTTAATAAGACACGGTGGTATCATCGATGACCTCTCCCTCCTCTCTCGCTTCCCACCATCATAGTACTCGATGTGTTAATTCCATTCCCGTTCTCGGCAACCGGTACGGCTGTCCAGCATCGTTTTTTTCTTCTTCTTTCTTCGACGAGTCTTCGTCCGTTCTCGTCAGCTGCAAGTATCTGGTTCTGCGGTCTCTGCGGCCGTTTCGTCCACGCGTCAGATTGATCGTCCTGTCTTTCATTAATTCCTGGACCGGCGCGCTGAATTTCGTCAGAGTATTTAAATTGGCAAAAATGGGTTTTCAAAGATTAAGCAATGTCGTTAAAATTTTATGCCTGGAATTTTTGAGGTTACCGTTTACGAGTATGAAGTGAAAATCTGTCGAATTCGAAACGGTGGGCTCAATATGGCGGCTAAAATTATAATTTTATTTCATCGATAAGACTTAAATACTGAAAATGCACAAAATTTTCATCTAAAAATTAATAAACGGCTAAATAACGAAATATCGAAACAAAACGAATAAACATAACTGATAATGATAGGTTATGTAAAATATGTGGATAACATTTTATTTGGGTCAGCTATATTGGCTTGAGGACACGCCACTTTGAATTTTTATTCACCATTAAAATTCACCGTCGAAGAGCGCGGCCTGAAAAAAGCCCAAAATACGATATTTTAACGTAAAACCTTTGCATTTCCCTCAAATTTATACAAACTGACCGTATTCCACCATCTAGAATTTTAAATCTCGAACTTTGACATTGAATGAAGAGAGCCTAAAGACCTTTAAACACCCAATTTTAGGAACAGTGAACTGCAAAACGCAATATTTTGTATTTCCTTCAAATTCATAGAGGCTGACCGTATTCCGCCATCTTGAATTTGGAATTTCGAATTTCGCCATTGAATGGAGCGAACCCACAAGGACCTTTAAATACTCAATTTTAGAAACAGTGAACTGCAAAACGCAGTACTGCATTTCTACCGCAACGTCGAGAGGTAAAATTTCTTCTTCTTTTTCTTCTTCTTCTTCTTCTTCTTCTTCTTCTTCTCTTGCGATGATGATAAATTTCGATCGACCAACGCGGACTTGCTCCACAGCCGGAGCTCAGAACCGGAGTCGCAGATGCCCGCGCGATAGGTCGCCGGCGCGTCTTGACGATCCCTCATGGACGTCGCGCGGCGCAAGAAGAAGTTTAGACGTCGTAGCGCGCCGTGGAAGATGACGGCGAAGCTATAAGAGGAAGACGCGCCAAGGGTGACCGCTGCAACCCGGCGAAGAGTATGCGGCAGCGGCGGCGGCGGTTCCCCGTGCTCGTGGCAACGGGGGGCACGAGGGGGCAGAACTGGCGAACGTCGAAGGTGGGACTTTGACCGGGCATTGCCCCGGCGAGAGTCGAGCCGCCGGCAGAACGAACGAGTCCTCGAAAGAAAGGGTCTGTCCTCGGCTGTTCAACGTCCACGTTGCGCACGCGAGAGAGAGAGAGAGAGAGAGAGAGAGAGAAAGAGAGAGAGAGAGAGAGAGAGAGAGAGAGAGCCGATCCACCTCGCCGGTGCTCGGCCGGTACTTCATCTAGACGCGGCACCGATTCGGGACCCATGGCTCCAGGGTCGGATCTGGTCGGGGAGATTCGGGCTTCGAAACCGTGACGAGGCGAGCTTCCGAAAACCACCCACCTTTGCTGAAAATGCCTCGAACGGTCTTATATGAACGTCCTTTGATGAATTTTCGCCACGAAGAAATTCAGCACCTAAGACTACTTAAGTAACGTTATGTGACGTTCATAACATATCGCGGACAAGTTAACGCACTGTGAACGTGCATTTGTCTACTTGGTACTCTAGTCACCTAATTCTTCGGCGTAAATGTCTTCAATTGAAAGATGGAGCAACTGCATTGCAGCGAGTTAGGTTACGTAGGTTGGAACAAACATCCATATCTGTTGTCGTATAAACACATAATCGCACCGCACAAATAAATGTAGGAAAGTAACGCGATACTAACGGCGATACATGAACGCTGCTTGAATACTTTTGGCATGAAATTTACGGCAATTGGACGTGGATGGTTTTCGGAAGCGTATGCCCACGACGTTTGCTTTCGGCGTCACACGCGCGTGACTCACCGGTCTCTCATGAGGGGCCAATGGCCGTAACCTGCGAACGCAGCACGGAAAAGATGCCGGTTCGTGTGACAGAATGGAGACCGGGGGAAAATTCGGTGACGAGGGAAACGATGCTTTGTCGCGCAACAAGTGGCCGAGAGAAGATTGATCTGAACAGTCGGCTGTGCATTAAAACTTGGTGGAGAGGGAGAGTGCAGAAGAGTGCATAAAAGGTACCATCACCTTTAACCATCAAACGGTGCAACCGAATTTTCCATTTAACTCCCATTCTTTGGAAAATTCAGTTACATTAATAACAATAGCCCAGATATCGACGGTCCAGATCTGGACCATCCAGACCCGAAAGCTGAAAGTCTGGCGACTCCACTCAGGCCGAACCGTCTCAGCTGAACTAATGGCGCACTGGAATCCGCCTCTTCTCTTCGTCTCTTTTCCCTCTTCAAAACGTCAAGTTACAAATCCAGTTCCCTCGGAGCGAACGGACTTGTCGAAATGCTCCGTGCTGGTGAACGACGTTGATCAGGTTTTACCCCAAGACAGTGCACCTTCTTACATTCTTGCTCGTGAGAAGCAGGATGGCGAGTTCTTTCCGCGTGCGAAGGACCGCGGAGCCTGAGACGCGGCGACGGGTTCGTCCCTGTCGGTGCTTACCTGTAATTTGCGAGCGATTCGCTGTCTCGTGAAGACTCATTAGGCGGAGT